TCTTCTTCACTTCTTTGTCTTCCTTGTCCAATTCACTTGTGTCTTAATCATTGATGTTTTATGCCTAATTTATGTACAATAATACACACATCAAAAAATTCAAACGTATTTGCAATATAATTGAAGAATCACCCAAAAACAAGAACTAAATCTATAAAAACATGAGAAATAAGTTGAAAAGTGCCAAGAAAGATAGTTCATTTTATGTCAAAATTTGCACTTAACAAACTCTCCCCAACTAGATTTTTGTTTGTTCTTAAGCAAAGTATGCCCCTCATGAAAATAAGAGAAATTTCCTCAAACAATAGGATTTGCTCAAGCATACAATTCAACAAAGAAAGGGATAACAGTTCAAATTCAAACAAGCGAAATTTTCTCAAATAAGAGGATTTGGTCAAGCATGCAAATACGCATAAGCAATGTTCACTACTCAATAGAAACGAACAATAATAAAGAATTTAGTTCTTAAACAAATATCATGCATTGTTTCAAATAACAACTAAATTCTTACTTGAAACACTCTAAACTCCTCTTCAAAATAAGAATGAAGAAATTAACATGTTTACCACCGAGAGGAAATTTCACTCACCTGACAAACAATGTTAATAACAATCTAATTAATACATTCATCTAACAACTAAAAATGAAAATATGGAAGCAAAAAGATCACTAAGGGCTTTTAAGGTTGTAGCTTGGTCAGATTTACAACAAAGGGTCATTTCTAAAGGCCATTGAATCGAAATTGCTGATGCAAAAGAAACATTCATTATACATGGTATTTACACATCCCAACTTCATTCACCACTTTCTTTCCTCTATTGAAAACCTTCTCAAACTTCCTTTTGCACAATTATTTCATTCTCTATTTTTGTTTTTCAAACAAACATTCTTTTTCTTTTGTTTCTCACATTCATATTCACACTTTTTCTTTCCGTGCTTGCTTGAAATTTTTCAAAAGTTTTAGCAACCTACCATTCTTCTTTTTCATTCTCCCCAATTTAATTTCAACCAAATCTTAAGTGAATGTTCCTTACTTTTTATGGTAAGGAAATCAATATAAAACAATGTCCAAAGGTTCAAAAAAAAAAAAAATTTTTTTTTATAATCTCACAAAGTTCAATGATGAACTAAAGTTTCAAATTATGTACATAAATCAAGTTCATCACTAAAATGAGATCTAAACTGTCTAGGCACAAAGAGGTTAACGAATACTCACTACTCACGGGTAAGTTACTGTTTGGATACGGTTGTGCTCAATATAAACAAATGTCTTGATCATTTCTAATGCTTCCACGAAATTACAATAATCAAAAGATAAAGCATAAATCAAACGAATTAAACAAAGTTTATCATTCATCCTAGCATATAGTAAATAATGGAGGTTTCTCACAATTTGTGGCTTTTTGACCTAAGTGAAACAAACATTCAAACAAGTTGCAACAAGAATACACATTTGTACAAAACACAAAATTCTCAAATCATTCTAACATTCTATAAAGCGGTACAATTTCCTTACTTGCATTCACATACTCAACATCCTACCATCACATCCAAACTAGAGAGAATCTTCATTTGATACTTTTATACAAATAGCAACCAATATAGAAGGAGTTCTCATCATTCATCCCTAAACAAAACTTAAGAAAACGTAAAGGAAAACAAGAATATATACAATATAGACAACTGTACAAAGCTCAAAAACATAAAAATTATTGCAATGCAATTCAATATCTAAACACCAATCCCCTGCAACGACGCTATTTTGTTCGAACTGCAGTAAAGCGGCAAGAAACAAAATTTTTGATTTGGAAAGATTCTCTCCGGGATTTATATCGTCTCCACAAGGATCGGTGCGAGGAAAAGAATATTGTTTAACGGTCTTTATATTTCTAAGCTTATTGTATAAAATTTTTGGTTAAAAGGTTCAAGAAATCATAAATAAAGGCAGAAAATATAAAGACGGAAATGAAGAGAGATAAAGTTCTGATCCTCAAAATATATTCTATTCTTCTGAAAAGTGAGAAAAGTATTTATATAGTATTTACAAAATTTGTCATGTTCGCACTGCGAACCCTTTCTTCTCCCAGCGAGCACACTTTTAGACACCTGAAGTGCCTTTGAACAGTTAAACTGCCCTTGAGAAATATCTGAAGTTTCTTGTGCGAGCAATTCTTCGCACTGCAAACTACCTCGCTACAAGTTCGCACAACGAACTTAGGATCCTTTAGCTATTGACTTCAGTCTAGGATGGTTCGTTAGTCCTTCGCTGCATGTTTGCACAACGAACATTCGCTTCTTGTTCACACAACGAACTTCCTGGTTCTTCTTCACTTCTTTGTCTTCCTTGTCCAATTCACTTGTGTTTTAATCATTGATGTTTTATGTCTAATTTTTGCACAATAACACACACATCAAAGAATCCAAACGTATTTGTAACATAATTGAAGAATCACACAACAACAAGAATTAAATCTATAAAAACATGAAAAATGAGTTAAAAAGTGTCAAAAAAATAATTCATTTTAAGTCAAAATTCGCACTTAACAATCCAAAAAAAATTATAGGCGTTAAAATTAATACTCACTGTATTGGTAAAGTATAACATATATTTAACCCAAAAATATTTTTGAATTAATTAAAAAAAGTTTGGTATGTACAAGTCTTAGATCATTTACAAGTGAAATAGTTTTAATTTGAATGGGACACTACAAGTATATATAAATTGAGAATTTCCTAACTAAATGGAATAAAGGCATTTTTTTCTGTTTGTGAAAATAATTAAATTAAATTAGAAGTCTTGAATTAACTAAAATAATTAGATAAAATACTAAATAAACTTAACTAAGATAACTAAATGACTATATTGAAAATTAGGCTAAATTTGAGAAAATAAAATCTAAAATAAAAGATCAAATTAAAGGATAAGAATTAAATAGAATTTTTTTATTAAAAAAATCAAGAGTGAAAACACAACTAGATTAACTAACTTAAGACTAAAATGTTTTTGGTTTTTTTCTAATCATTTTTATTTCTATAAATTACTATTTCTTATAATAATAATAATAATTAATCAAAATAGAATTAAAATTGGAGGAATATAAGAGCTAGGGGTATACTAAGTAATGTTGAAATCTTAATTGAGACAAATAAATTTAATGCGTCTAAGGCCCATAAATAAACTCTAATTTTTTAACTAAAAGTAAATAAATAACTAAATAATATTATGAAAAAAAAAATCTGATATAGTCATAATATGAATAGGGTGCTGCTTCCCATCTCTCGACTATTCAAAACATCCTCAAAACAAACTAAAAACAATAATTAATATTAAAAATAGGAAATGACAAATCGGATCCAACATAATTAGATATCTTTTCAAAAGTCTTTCCTCCATGAAAACTCAAACAAGACCAACAAAGCTCAATACATATATAAAAAATTATAGTAATATTATCAAATAAAATTTCAATTTCTTGTAATATCAATTACTTTTTTATTTTAAGTGTTTTGAAATGTCTAAAATATCTGAATAGGTTTGTGATTTTGATAATCCGAATTTTAAAAGATTGTCCTAGTGAGACGGTTGATGAGTGAAGTGAGGCAAAAACGAGTTTACCCAAAAATGCACATCTTCCTTACCGTGCAAGGAGACAAGAAATCCCCTAAACTTGCGTCAATCCTGTCCCATCAGCAAATAAAAAACATTATCCTGCCTCATCCCATACACAGAGTGGGATGTACAATCTTCCCTCTTTTGAAGCCAAATTACCAACCAAAAAGTTAAAGTTACCCCATCAAAAAATAAAAAGCACATGTACTGTACAATATCCAGTCACGAGATAAAAATCTCCAAACAAAAGCGTTATGGTCACCATTGTAATGTTGTCGGAAACAAGCATCAAACGTTTGCAGTACCAGATCGTTCCACATTTTCATTTCTCATTGGTTACGCATCACATCAACGATTCAACTCACTCACTATTGGTCCACGTTTTGCAACCTCATTCGTCCAATTCAATTATAATTAATTAAAAAATAAAAAATCTTCTCTTATTTTGTTATATCTTTCTCTCCATGGTGACTGAGTCTCTCCTTATAACCCGTTATAGCTCATAGACACTTGTCGATTCTACCATACTCCCCAATCTCAAGATCGTTCATACACGACACTCAACAACGTTGTTGCGAACACACACGAGTGAGTTTTCGTTCTCACCGCCGTTTTTTTTTCATCCATGTTTCTTTCTATGCCTAATTTTTTTATTTCTATCTAAATCTTAACATGTTTAAAGGTATTAATATCTTGGATAAATTATGTTCTGTCTACATCAGATTTCTAATTTACCTAATTTGTACATCATGTTTTTTTTTCAATTTCTCTATATGGATCTTAATTAACATAGAACAGATGTTTTGATCTCACTGGTCTGTAATGGGTAGTTATGGTTGGATTTGCGCTTTTTTTTTATATTACCATGCTTTGGATTCTTGTGCTGGTGGATTCAATTAATTCTACATGGCTTTTTTGGAACTGTTTTGCTAAGCTTTTTTTTGTTATGTACAGTGTACTATGTTGCTTCTTATGTATATATCTGTTTTCCTCCAATGCTGTTAACGAGGTTGTTGTAGTTTTGTTTCATCTTGTACTTTCTATTTTGAGAGGGTTACAGATTTTGAAACTATTGAGAAAATATAAGTAACTGTGAAGTCTATGACCCTTTTTGTGAAAACGCCTGAATTAAGCACTTATGGCATGAGCATTTATCCTATTTATCATATAAGTGCTTATGTATAATGTATAAGCTATTTTATATAGAAAAAGATAAAATAAAGTCAAATTGTTTTTATATTTTGAAGTTTATGGATCTAAATACAGGTAATTATATTGAAGGACAGTGACTGAAAATACCACATGATCTACTTTAGGATAATATTTAAGAGAGAGGTTGCTTAAGTGAAAATCTTGCTTCTGGTTTAAGTCTTTGATAGTGGGGTCAAACATGAACTTTGCTTGGGATGCAATGAGTGTGAAGCCATCTGGAAATGTTAATCTAGCGAGGCAGTCTTCGATATACTCCTTGACTTTTGATGAGTTACAGAGTACGGTCGGCGGAGTTGGAAAAGATTTTGGATCAATGAACATGGATGAACTCTTGAAGAACATATGGAATGTTGAAGAGACTCAGGCGATGACATCTTCGACCGTTGGAGGAGGAGGAGGAGAAGGACTTAATAGCACAATTGGTAGTAATTTGCAAAGACAAAGTTCCTTGACTTTGCCAAGGACACTTAGTCAGAGAAAAGTTGATGAGGTTTGGAAGGAATTGATGAAAGATAATGGAAACAGTGGTTCATCTATGCCTCAGAGACAACCAACATTAGGTGAAGTGACTTTGGAAGAGTTTTTGGTGAGAGCTGGTGTTGTGAAAGAAGATATGCCTAATCATGTTCAACAAATTGAAAGACCGAATAATAATGAATGGTTCAGTGACTTCTCCAGATCAAACAACAACACCAATTTACTTCCCTTTCAACAACCAAATCGAAATAATGGGGATATGAATGACAGTATTAACTTAGTTCCTAAACAGGTTCCTGTTCCTCTTCCTCCTTCATCGATTAACTTGAATCACTCGCAACGGCCGCCACCCCTTTTCCCGAAACCTACAAATGTAGCATTTGCTTCTTCTATTCATATGCTAAACAATGCTCAACTTGGTAACCCGGGTAGAAGGGGAGGGATGATTGGAGTTCAAGAGCATTCAATGAATGGTACATTAGTTCAAAACAGTGTAGCTCCTGGTGCTGGAATGCTTGGTTTATCCGCGGCGAATGTCACGGCTCCTATTGCTTCTCCGGGAAGTAAACTCTCCCCAGACATAATTACAAAGCGTAATTTAGATCCTTCAATACTTTCACCAGTTGCTTATGGAATCAACAGAGGGAGGAAGTTTGGTGCTGTAGAAAAAGTAGTCGAAAGGAGACAAAGGAGAATGATAAAGAATAGAGAATCAGCTGCAAGGTCACGCGCTCGCAAACAGGTTAGCATTTCATTTACTTATCGAGGATACAGTCATTTTAGTTCTTGAATGTGTGAGACAATGCTGACGATGCCGTTTTTACAACTTCTAAATTTTGTTTCTTATAAACGGAAGGCCTACACGGTTGAACTAGAGGCTGAAGTTGCAAAACTTAAGGAAGTAAACGAGGAATTACAAAGAAAACAGGTATGTTATTTTTTCATTTTGCACGACAAACTTGTCAATGATTTATTCGCGGAGGTTTTTGGCAGTCTCTAACCACATTTGATATGATATACAGGCAGAGTTTATGGAAATGCAGAAAAGCAAGGAGGATATGGTACAGGTAAATAAAATAAGATACTTGAGAAGGACACTTACAGGTCCATGGTAGATTTTAAAGCTTGTAGGAATGAAGGCATTGTTATGTCATAAGGAGATGAGTTATGCATGTATGGTGTGAAGTAATTACAGTATAACAGTAGACAGGATGGTAGCTTTTATGTATAGGTATTAGGTACTAGGAGCATTTAGTTGTAAATTAAAGTATTAAACTTGCATCTTGTAATCTTGTATGATAAGCTATTTTACTTTCTTGAATGTCATTTTCATGTATCTGTTTCCTGTTGAACTGTCTGTGTTTCTCACCTCTGTTCATCAATGGACTTGGATTCCCATTTGTTTTCTATTTTACACGCCAAACATAATTATCTTTCGGCCAATACAAACTACATAGTTTATATTATCTTATTGTCTATTTAAAAATATCACATCATTTAGAATAATGCATATCTAGAATCTTATAAAGTTGTTATAGAATTAAAAAGTAAATTTGTATTGTGATAAAGCAGAGATGGAGAGAATTTGTGACAAGAGAAATGAGAGTGAAGGGAGGGAGAGAGACAAGAAAGAGAGATGGGTTGGACATAAACCCTAGAGAAAAAATGGATACCTATAAAATGAAGTGAACCCATCAATTATATGTCAATCATTGGCAATGACGGATTAGAGAATTGGTCCAGCAATCAAAAAGTAAATGGAAGAAAAAAGTTCTGTAAAGAGATTAAAAAAGACACCAGAGATAAATAGGTAAGTAATTATGAAACTGGTTATACGGTGCTATAGGGTGCAAAGTGGATTTTGTGTTGTACTATGAGAGTTTATTTATTCTTCTGCCTAGTTTAAAAATATAAATTTCATAATATCCTATTTTAAAAGAAATTTTCAGAGTGTCCTAAAGTCCTTACTTACTTCTCCATTCAAGTGCCGAGTAGATGAAAACATTTTGTTGATAAAGATGTTCGTCCACTCAAGTGACAAACATGTGTGGTTTTTTTTTTTCTTCATATTTTTATTTATATAAATCATTTATTTAATAATTTTAAATATAAAAAATATATTATAAAAATATTATATTAATTTAATACTTATATATCAATTAAAAATAATATATTCAAACAATTATATTAATTTAATAATTAAATATTAATTATAAATATATTATTAATTAAATGTAATAATAAAATATATGAAGAAATTTATTCAAACAAAAATACATTTTACATATAATTTTTTTCAAAAATGGCCTCAGTTCCACACCTGGTGGCCCTTTTATGTCGATATCCCCTGCCCACAGTTCATTTGCATTCCTTGTAGGTGATTAAGATGAATCGGAAGGCATATCTCGATCATGATGTGTTCTAGGGGGTTTGCCTGCCTTGAAGGGGGTTCCGCTTGTGTCGAAGGTTGTTCGGCAAGAAGATCATCAATGTTAAAATCTGGCATTTGCATCAGTTGATCCTCCGTCAGCAAAAAATGTTGGAATGAATGTAATGGTTGTGGTGGTTGCATGTAGGTTTCAGATTGGGTTTGTTGGAGGGTTGGGTAGTATACATCATCAGGCGTGAAGGTGGAGTTGGGTTGAGAGAATGAAGTGTTGAAGGTTTGATGTTTGAATTAAGGGTTTGATTGATCAAAGTTTGGCGAAGGAACTGGATGAACTGTAAGGGTGATCGAAGGTTGGATTGGGGTTGATATTGTTGGTTGTAGTTGTAGTGGTAGTTTTGTTGAGGGAGTGGAGTGTAGGGAGTTTGGTGTTGGAATGAGGATGCATAGTATATGTGTTGTTCGATGGTCTGTGTGCGTTGGTATGTATGTTGAGCTGATGAAGATGTGTGCCCCCCAAATTGAGATGTGTACGTTGGTGGCACATCCTGATGCATTGGTGCGGCAGTTGGTTGTGTTGATGACGAACCTTGCATGCAAGGGTCGATCAAAAATTGGTCTGGAGAAATATGCACATACGGAATGGCACGAAACCAATTTAAATACTCTTGGCTTGGCTTGCGTTCACCAACTACAGCGTCCCCCTGCAAAATCAAATGTATTCTATGTTTTCATTCTTTCACCTCCTCTTTGTTTAATTCTCGCCAATGAACTTTTTGGACTTTTCTCATCGTTATTGTGTGGTGTTCCCTTAGACACCTTGGCGGGGAAGGGATTTGTTGTTCAAACCCGAAGTGGAGTTTTACCCTATTTGTTTGATACATTTCAACAGTATAGAAACAGATAAGAGAAGTTGTAACACTCCAGATCTGACTATCTCTAAGATTGGGCACCGAGAATTGAATGTACGACCTCCATATAAACTGCCACATATTAAAACTAAATTATAAATTCTCTAGCCACGTAATCCTAACAGAACCTCTATTTTTATCCTCTTATGTAGGTTTCACCCCTAAGTTCTCCATGTAAACATCATTTGTTACTTCGGTAGGACCGTTGATAGCTTTTTCATCAACTTGGAGACCAAGTAACATATTCACATCTTCTAACGTTATCGCGCATTCACCTGTTGGAAAATGAAACATGTGTTTCTGGTCTCCATTTCTCTAACAGAGCTGCAACTAGGCTGAAGTCAATTTTGAGACTATTTATTTTTCCTATATTAGCAAAACCTACTATTTCTAAATACGAGATTATTCCCGCACTTGCTTGAATGGGAGCATGAGAATGCACTTGAAACCTTGCATTAGTCTGAAAAGAAATGAAATCATAGTGAACACAAAAATTATAAACATTACTACATAGAACAATAGAGGAAAACTTACACTAGCTTGAATATTTGATTGTGTTCCACGGTGTTCATCGCCCATCTACAACAAAGACATTTTGATAGAGTGTAAAAATATTTGGAGAAATGCTTGAGTGTTTGTTGTTGCTGGAGTGTTTTATGATAGAAGTAAAAATATTTGTAGAAAAATGTTTGAAGTAAAAATGAATTTATAGATGAAGTAAAAATGTTTGAAGTGTAAATGTGACAAATAGAAGTGACATTACACTGAGTTCTGCATGGCATTAGTAATGGTTAATTGCATGGAATGCATGCAAGGCTACTACGTAGGTCTTACACAATGTACCTTGCATGGAGACCACTTGAGTGGACGAGTTGCTGCGTGGGAAGAACATGCTCGCCATTTGGTTGGGCGAGCAAACACTAGGGAAGACCATGTTCGTCCTTTGAGTGGACGAGCACACACGTGTTGTCCTTTCTTTGCAAGCGTTCCAAGAATATATGTGTGTATTATATATTATTTGTTTCTCACATTTGTATCATCATTCCACATTCCATTAACAAAATCATAGAGTTCTCACATCAAATATGGCTCAAGAAATATAATAGTTACCTGCCACTTTAATGGTATTGTTTCGACAAATAGTATTGTTGGATTCTCCTTCGACAACACAGATACTTACGCATTCAAAATTCATGTTAATTCTGATTTTTTTTTTCATTTCAAAGATAGAATAGAAAATAAATTAGAACGATTCGTTAAGGAGATTATTTATCGTCATCCATTACTTAATGGAGAGGACGATACAATTTTTTTACGTAATGATGTCGATCAGGAACAAAGAAGACATGGAAGCAATGTTTCAGTGTCACATGATGTTTAGTCAGTTACCTATAATTGAGCTGTATGTTCGTCTATTGGATAATGCCGAAACATTTTTGACGCAAGAGACATAATCACACCAGTATGGAATGAGCTAAACATATGATGACGAACCAACACAAAACAACGAACATTTCATACCAAATGAAGAGGTTGGGGAAGCAAGCGACGATGATCTTCAAGAGGTCAGGATGCAAGATATTTTTGGTAACAGTGATGATGAGGACGATGAAGATATAATATTCGCGTCTACGCAGGTGATTTGTGTTGAACCAATAAGCTTATACAACCCACCTGCACATATGCAGAATATATGTATGGAAGATGATGAAATAACCTATGTGTTTGGAGGTGTCATACCAAACCATATAGGTGGCAAAATAGAGATTGGGATGAAGTTTGAAAACAAGGAAACTTGCGTTTTCGCTCTGCAACATTGGCATATAACACACAGTGTTGACTCTTGGGTTTACCAATCTGACAATGAACGATACATAATTAAATGTAAGAAACAAGACTGTAATTTCAAATGCAGAGCTTCCTTGAGAAAAAGGAACTCAAAATGGGTGATTGGTAAGCTGTTTGGGCCTCACACGTGCACTACCACATATATGGCACAAGACCATAGGAAGCTCAGTTCAGAAATGATTAGCCACAGCATTAGATAGCTTGTCAACCGAGACGCTTCACTTAAGGTGAAGGTGATCATTGCCCATATTCTTGAAAAATACAGGTACATAATATCTTACAGGAAAGCATGGATTGCTAAGTGTAAGGCCATAGAGTCACTCTACGGAAATTGGGAAACATCTTACAATGACCTACCACAGTAGATATTGGTAATGAAAATCTATCTTCTTGGAACCATTATTGATTTGCAAACCCTACCTACAATTTCAAATGATGGTTCCCAAATCTTTGGAAAAGGAATCTTCCATCGTCTATTTTAGGCATTTCGACCGTGTATACGTGGCTTCGCCTACTGTAAGCCCATTGTGCAAGTAGATGAAACGTGGTTGTATGACAAGTACAGAGGAACTTTATTGATGGCAGTGGCACAGGATGGAAACACAAACATTTTCCCAATAGCTTTCGCATTGGTCGAAGGTGAAACAAAGGAAGCCTGGAGCTTTTTCCTAAGGAACCTGAGGTTACACGTGAAACCACAACCTAATTTGTGCCTACTCTCGGATAGACATGAATCGATAAAGAGTGCATATAGCAATCCCGAAAATGGATGGCAACATCCACCATCTTCACATGTCTACTGCATTAGACACATTACGCAGAACTTCATGCACGAGATTAAGGACAAGGAACTAGGCAAAAAACTTATTAACATGGGTAACAAAATACATTTGAGTTATCTGAACTATTTTATCATACTTTTACTATGTTTTTCATACCATTTCTATTACATGTTACGATTGACGGAGGCTACATTTAACTAAATTCGCGGAGAAATCCAAAGAACTGACATTGAGGCCTCACGTTGGATAGACAACATACCTATGGAGAAGTGGGTTAGAGCATTTGACGGAGGGCAACGTTGGGGACATATGACATCTAACTTGGTAGAGGCCATGAACTCTGTATTAAAGGCAACCTGAAACCTTCGAATCACTGCATTGGTTCAGTCTACATACTATCGCATGGGTTCCCTCTTTGGTAAACGAGGCCACAAATTGACCAAAATGCTAGCTACCGACAAAGTTTTCACAGATGGTTGCAACAAGGGAATGGTTGATGAGGTAGTCAAGGCTAACACACATAATGTCCTGCAATTTGATCGCGAAAGATTATATTTCATGGTGCAGGAAAAAATTAATCAAAACGATGGTCGTCCAACAGGTACTTTTAGTGTTGACTTGAGGAATCGTTGGTGTGACTGTGGAAAATTCCAGGCATTTCACTTACCTTACTCCCATGTTATCGCAACATGTTCTAGCATATGTCAGGACTACACCATTCACATTCTAGAAGTCTTCACAGTTCTTAACGTATTCAAAGTCTACAAGGAAAACATCCTGGGACTACCGCACGAGGAGAACTGGCCAAAATATGAAGAATTTACGCTTTGCCACGATGATTCAATAAGAAGAAATAAGAAGGGACGTCCAACCAGTAGTAGGATTAGAACTGAAATGGACGACGTTGAAAAGGAAAAGAGAAGGTGTGGAATTTGCAGAGAAATAGGTCATACGCGTAGAAAAAGCCCAAATGTTGTCGGCTCGTAAAACGGATCGTCTAGATAATTTTATTTATTTTTCAAATTAATTGGTTTGTAAAGTTTTTTGCTTGCACTTGATTTCTCTTTGATCCAACATTTATTTGTAATGCAAGACAACTTTTAGATTACAACAATACTAGCAAATTACAACCATGAACTTAATATCAGCTTGTCCATACATCATCATGACACAATCATAATCGTCCAATGGATGGTCGAGCATCATGATGCCATAATTTATGTTTTCAAAATAAAATTAAAACTCAAGAAGTTAACATACAAGCTAATTAACAACAGTAACCAACACAAGTGGATCTTCAACTTCTCTATTAACTTCGCCACTATGTGCTGAAAATATACATTGGACATCTTCATCATTTTCTACGATCCAAGTAATACATGTACGTACCCTCCAGGCTTGCATCAGTCATCGTTATATACGGACATCGATACTCCATTTTTTTCACCTTCATGCGACGACCACCCAACTGTAGAAACCCTATGTTAATTGCTGCAACCACAGTTCTGAAATTCCACTGCGGATCCAGGTAAACACTGATATGTTTCTCTTATCCATAGAAAACAAGAGCTCGGACATACATTTTTGAAAAACGAATGATTTGTGTTAATACGCATTAATCTATTTATAGAAAAATATTACGTTTGAACTTTGTCATTCATTGGCCGAGAGTCTGTAAAAACTCGGCAATTCATTGGATGAGTATCAATCATTTTTTACAATATACGTAAGAAAAAAAATTAAAATATTATTTAATTCATAACTTATTTTCTTTCTATATTTTTAATAATTAAAATATCATTTAATATGATATATAATATTTTTTAATAATTTTAATTATTATATAATTATTAAATTAATATAATATATTTTTAATAATCAAAATTAATATTTTAATTAATTAAGCAATATACAAATATGAAAAATTAAAAAAATAAATAAATAAAAAAACCACATATGCTCGCCACTTGAGTGGACACCTTCATCAGCAAAATATTTTTATCTGTTTTCAGCAAAATATTTTTATCTGTTTTCATATGCTCGCCACTTGAGTGGACAAACAAGTAGAAAATCTAAGGCATGTCTGATAATTTTTTTCAAACTAAAGAATTTTGGGATTTATGTTTTCAGCAAAACAGTAAAAAAGTGTACTATGCACGAGTTTCTTTCTACTATTAGATCAAAAAGTCCCATTTTAGATTTATGGTAGCATTTCCTCAAGAATTCCAAGTGTTATTATTATAGGACAGCGTGATAGTTAATGTGTATATCAGGTTTCTTGCACTTCCAAAAAAATTATGGAGAATAATCTATGGCAGTTCTTTTTAAATTTTAACTATAAACGTGAATTCTAAGCTTTGCAGTAAGCTCAGGTGTTTTTCAATTCATTGTGATGCACTTTTTATGTGGAAGAGAGATCGGAAAAGTGTGACTTTTTCAAAAATGAAACTTCATAAATAAGTGTTTAAAAAGTAGTACTGCATATTTTTCCTGTCAAAATTGAACCATATGACTTTTTCAAAATGAAACTTCATAAATAAGTGTTTAAAAAGTACTGCGTATTTTTCATGTCAAAATTGAACCATTCACTTCAAACTCAACAAGACACGGGGACACTTGTTTGGCTTGAAGGATTTGAAAAAAGCTGTAGACCTTGACGTTAGAATTTCAAATCGGCAGTGACCTCAACCCAAATTGGTCTCTTTTAACAACTGGAAGGAGGTGTGAATGTTTTCACACAACATCAGTCCCTACTCTATTTTCAACTAAGTAGAATTAAGAAATTATACTGGACAACAATGCCTTTAGGTCTAGAATCACATCGCATGTTCAACCATGCTGATACTCAGGTTCTAATCTTGTGTAACCTGCAGTTATTTTTTTTCATATACAACCATCCCTCGAAAAATGATGAGACTCGGAGGAGACGGTGATTTGTGGTATCATTCAAGTATTCCAAACGCGGAGCAAAGTCAGGCCTGGGCTGGAGTACACTGCCTATAATTTTTCTATCCCACCTACAATTACATGCTCTATTTCTTAGGATACTCAAAAACAAGGCCTTCGGCTACACTTCTTGCTCTTCTGTCCCCAAATAATTTGCTCACAATAGCCAAAGCAAAATCAGTTATACTGGCAAGTCCCTCACAAGTAATCAGTTTTCCATCAATAACTACTACAGCATCATTTACAGCTCCGTCCTTAAGCTTGTCTACGACAGAGGGATGAGCTGTGGCCTTCTTGTCCTTAAACGGTAAAAGAATTCAGTAAAGGCTTATCGAAAGAAATGGATCAGGAAGCACAATGGTAGGGTATTAAATACCTTTAGTAAACCATGTTTATGTAGAATAGTAGGTGAGGAGCAGACGGCCCCGTATATTCTTCCGGCTGAATTTTGTTCTTTTAGAAGCTTCTTCAGAATTCTAGATTTGCTTAGCCTTTGAGTACCAGCGGTTCCTCCCTGAAAATTCATGATAATCTTAGCAACAACTCGGATGGATGGATGGGAGGGAGACAATAATAAGAATCCTCTGATTCTGCAGATACGTACTACCCTAACTAAATTGAGTCACTTACAAGTTATAACTGAAAATTAACACTACAATTTGTTCATTTTCACCCAAAGTTCCATTCAAAGATTGTTTATGATTCAATCCAAATCAACTATATACAATATATGACTATTTTATTTGGTTTTAAAATCCTTTATAGTTGAGCATATTGAGAAATCCACTCAGGTTTGTTTGAACATATCTGGAAAAGATGAGTGCAGGCACAAATTAAGAAAGTTGGCCATACAAAAATGCAGTTGCGTGAAAGACTAGATTCTAAACATGAGAACTGATTTATTTTTATAGGATCAAATTTTCATGAATCAAAACAACCCATAAAACAGCACCACACAAAAATGCATCAACTTATTAATTTTCATAAATCCATATTACCGGGAGAATAATCAAATCATGTGCTGACTCTTGAACATCACTAAGTAACTTATCAGCAACAATTTTGGTTCCTTGAGAAGCCATGACTCCAAGAGTTTTCTCAACAGAGGCAACTATGACATTAGTTTTTGCTCGCCTTAGAATATCTATCAGTGTCACTACTTCAATCTCTTCAGAACCATGTGCAATTGGGATGAGAACCTGGTTGTCATTACATACATGTTAGATCCTGGTTACAGAAGCATAGACAAGAACAAATTATACAGATAAGACAGTAACCTACACTGGGGGGATGGTGGCCAACAGACCACTCAATTTCATTGAACTCCTTCTTGGATACATTATCGTCACTGGTTCTCATCAACTATCATAAAAGAAGGTGAACTAGATCAGGTACATAGCACAACTGATTCCCAACATCAGCATCAAGTATTAGAAATAACAGTAGAAGTAATCAATTCTTACAGACATAACTCAGTACCAAAATTTAGTGTCGAGAATTAAAACATTAGATTTCAATCAATTTTCATCGTTTTGCATCAATCCTTTTGTTTTTCCTTTTCCACACCCCAATAAATCCTGCAGTTCAACTAATTCGGTATGTAACCAACAATAGTTACTGTTCTGTTCAGCCAGCTAAACATTGGCTTTCGCTTTAAGAATTCGATCAGGACTTACAAATTGACCACATGTACATTTGGCAACACAGAATAACAGTAAGTATTCTTAATCCAGTTAGAATGTAGACTTCAAGACATTCTTAATGTACATTTGGCAACACAGAATAACAGTAAGTATTCTTAATCCAGTTAGAATGTAGACTTCAAGACATTCTTAATTTTAATTTCTTCGTTATTGCAGAAGTGTAAAAATTTCGGTTAACAAAGCAAATTACCAAGAATTCAGCAACCTCCCTTGCAACAGACTCCCCAAACAGCTGCTCAGCCAAGGTTAAAGCAAACATGTAAGCAGTTCCAGGGCCACGGCTCGTTGTAAGCCCTTTTGAAACCTGAATGTTTGTTTTAACAGCCCAAAATGTTGGAAGCTTGTCGAAAAATGCAGGGTGACAGGTTATCTTGCAAGACAAACTGGAAAAAATCAGCCTTATCCAAATACAATAACAAAAAAAAACGATAAACAATATAATTCATGTTTAGATTGATGGTGAGTTTGTTAGAAACGGATTTTCGCAGAAATTTAGCTTTGAATCTTCAATAAATGTGAGTGTCATTGTTTTTTTTTTGGAAACTTGGTATCCATCCTTGAGACCGGATAATTCAATGGGACAAGTCCCACCGTCCCCTAACAGGGGTCCATTTAAAGCCAGAGGAAAACACTCTATGGACTGATACAACACAAGGATTGTTAGCATCTAGCCGAAATTGAACTGAGACCTTGAGAGAAGCACACTCTTTAGGAATCAAGCCTTCACCAATAGACCAACTCTTGGAGGTTAATGTTAGTGTGATTGTAATTTCGTTAAACTCTATCAATCTAAACATGCATGAAATCAAACTGCAATATCCAAAACAAACAAAAAAGTAAAGTACCTCCCTACTCTTCAAAAGACCCCATGGCAAAAGCGTGACGGCAGGAGCAGCATTAATAGCACCATAGAGCCTATTTTCCTCCGCTTGTTTGCATGTGATTCTTCGCAGCACATCACAATCCCTTAATCTTGCTGAACCAGGCATTCCTCCCTGTTACTTAAATTGATTATGCATGAACATTAAGGAGAAGTCACGGTGATGGTGGTGGTGATAACTGATAAGATAAAAACTAACCGGTAAAGCGATGAGATCGAAGATTTGATCGGAGCAATCGGAAATTGAAGTGTCGGCGACTAATTTGGTACCTCCAGCAGCTTCAATTTGAAGCTGAGGCTCGACGGACGCCACGGTGACAAGAGCACCAGCACGACGGAGGACGTGAATTAAGATAACGGCTTCCATTTCCTCGGTGCCGAAACCGATGGGAAGAAGAACCTTCTTTGGAGTTGTTGCATTTGTGCGTGTTGTTGGTGGAGAGACGGAAATGGGAAGTGTGGAGTTTGGAGTGCAACGTGGAGGTTTGAAGGAGGGTAAGGGTTTAAGGCTGATAATGGAAGTGGCGACGGTGAAGGTAAAGAGTGTTGGGGGAGGTTTGGGTGGCAATAGCAGCAACGACATGGACTCTGTTAACACAGCACAATTACTGTTCGGGTGATGGATTTGCTGGATTCGTGTAAAGAGAAGATAAGATGCCTTTCGGCTGTGAAATGAAATGAAGATATGAAGTGAGAAGTAAAAAGTGAAAAGAGTAGGCTTCAACTAGATGATAAGGAGTTCTTCTCTCACTACTCCCGCCTACTTAAAATTATGAGAAGAAAATGGGAGAAGGAACAAGTTAAAAAAACATTCATCAATTTACATAATGAAAAAAATAAGTAAATAGATTATATATATTGATGTATTTATTGTTGAGTGAATGTAAATGTAAAGTATAAAATATAAGGGTCTAAATAGTATTAATTAAACTATGCAAAGTTGAATGGATAGCTATTAAATAGCAACTTACAAAGTGTTTGGGATGGCTCAACGATCTAAATAGCAACTTAGTCTATTTTTTTAGACGAAATATAAATAAGTAGATTTTTTCAAAAAGACGCATATTATATTCAATTTATTTGTTTATCACCGATTTTTTCAAAAAAAACAGATATTATATTCAATTTACTTGTTTATTACCGATCGTCAGATTTAATCAGGTTACCTTCTGTATCTCATGCACGAGTCAAACATGAGTGATTTTATCTGCTTATTATATATGAGCTTTCTCACGCGACATAACATATATTTTTCATTCACTCTTGCAAACTTATAATTATCTAATCTCACTGAATTGGACATTAGTGTATTAAGCTTGCGGATACACCCCAACCCACTGTATTGGAGACTCGTTCCATTGCACCAAAATAACTACTATCTTTACCTTATTGATCTTCTGTTCCATATCGGACAAAAGAGGTTGAAAATTGACTTCTGATTCTCGCAAAGTTCCACATCAAATTCATTAGATTCTTATCATTATGTCATTTCATCAACGATTTCGTCATTTGACAATGAGAAGCTCTGAATCTGTTATCAGAATCATCATTTTAATTTTGGCCTTAGTATCGTCATTGCGCTCAGTGACACTCTAAATCCCCATTAAAAAATATTTTCTTTTTATAAATATAAAACATGAAATGCGGAATAATTATTTCTTGGAATCAAACGGGGCATCACATTAACATAAATAGCATAAATCTTATCCTAAATGACTACTTGATTAAAACATAACATCAAACTTAAAGGTTCAAATAATATAAATTTTGACCTTGATGTCACAATATCAAAACCTTGTCACAAAATAAATAAATTAGTTGACTTAATAGTTCAGTAGACCTAAATATGAAGGAAACAATTGAAACATAGAAACATAAGGTGAAAATGTATTCTACAAAGTACATGGTATAATAACAACAAAGGACAGTAATCGCAAGCATACAACATTTACATGATCTTAAGATATTACATAGAATTATATAGCATTACATAACATACACATGAATGTTTATGTAATGCATTTGTCCTCTACTCCAATACATGTGGTATCATCATTGAACAAATAACTTATATTCGTGAGTTCTAATATTTTAGGAGGGAATATGAGTTATGCCTTGCACTACGACACTCTTCTATAGGTGCGCAGACTCTACAATATCTAGGAGGACATGTGAGCTACGTACGCACTACAACACATTTTGCTAAACTCTACTTCTAGGAGTACATGCGAGTTACACCCGTACTACAACACTCTCATAGACATTTGTAGACATGCAATGTCTAGAGTACATGTGAGATACGCCGTACTACACACTCTCTCTAGATGATACCTACTTCGATATAGTATGATGATCAAACAGACACAATTTTCATTTGTACCTCTAAATCGTATTTGAAACACATTAACCTTGATTACCACATTAGGGTTTCCACAAGGTTTATCACACATTTACTTTGACTTCCACATTAGGGCTCCACATTAGTTCTTTTCGAACCATCAACATAAATTCCACATGATGGTTCACATTTGTTCATATCAAACCTTCAACATAGTTGCCACATTTGGGTTTCACATTGGTTCTGATCAAACCTTTAACATAATCGCCGGATTTAGGCTTCATAAGGATTTTATCACACGTTGAACTCGTGTCCTAAGATTATTCCCACAATCATTTATCATTACAACATGCTTCATAATAAGTATTTTATCAAAATATTGGACTTAGATTCTAATGTTCACTTAACAATTATTCATTATTCACAGCGTGATTCATACATACAAAATCATGACCCCTTTAGCATAAGATATGTTGTTGCATTAGCTTTATAACACATTCGACCGCACTTCAATTTGTGTTTCTAAACTAAAGTAATTAATTTCTTAAACTTCCCAAGCATGTAATCGATTGCACATTTAGCACAATCGATTGCACTACCATTTTGCCTTATTTTCTACTACAAAAAAGGTGGTAATCGGTTGCCCATTTAGTGCAATTGATTGCACTCTGCGAATTTTTACTTTTTCGCATTCGTAATCACTTTTAAGCAAACATTCAGGTTTCAAAAGGGCTTCAATGTCTGGCATTTAAACACAAGATTCATGAAAAAACATGTAAAATTATAGACTTAAGCCAAACCATTAATGATAAGAGACAGGTTTATAACTTAGGGTCTATGAACCATCATCTCGTAGGGGAATTTCACATGGAAACTTAGATAATTAGATGAAATTCTTTTTTCTATTAATTCCACAATTTCCTATTTTCATAATTAATTCTGACTAATTCATAATACTAATAATAATAATTCCTTAATAATAAAATCAACACATATATTTTTTTAAATAACAATATAATAATAAAGAAATCATGAACCACACCAAAATTGAAATATTAATAGAAATAATATTCAAATAAATTTTGGGGTGTTACATGCCCCCATCATTTCTTCGATCACGTAGGATCATTAGACCTGAAAGAACTAGTCAAGAGACCTTTAAAGAGAGGTGCCTTAAGACTACATACTAGAAGTAGAACCAAAAGACGAAAGACCAATCCTAGGGTTTCAAGACAATGAAAAAGATAGATGGAATTCCCAACAAAGTGATTTTTGTTTGTAGTAACCATTATTGTAGCAAATCACTCGGTATTGAGGATTCTAATCAATAGGAAATCTCATGTGACATCATATATGTTGCTCTTTTCAAGGAATTGAGACTTCACAAAGAGAACATATCGCCTTAGAAAACATAGATCTTTAGGTTTTTAGTAATAGAAGTTCAAACATCAAAGATATCAAAAACCTAGTCTCTAGAAACCATAATAGATAAGGAAACAAAAGCAAGGAGAAAGATATAGACTTTACCTTCAAATAAATGGGTTGATTATCTATGCGTCTCAGATACCTACAAACAAAATATCATAGATAAACCTAGTTAGTAAATTAGTGTAGAGGAGTTCACAATAAAGAGCAAAGTTGATGATACAAAGAAGAAAAGCTTTTAGAATTCATAAATGGCAAAAAGGGGAAAAAGTGCTTCAATAACCCTTTATGTATGACTTAGTCACAAGGGGTCGTACGATCCACTAAGTTAGGAAATGCAAGATGCACTACCAACTATTTTGCTTTCATCGAAGATTGTGCAAAGTAATTTAGTACCCTGGATTATAAGTATGAGAATAGGGATTATTCTGCTTCAGAAACTTTATCTCTTCAATTTGTTGCGCATTCGCAACACAATGTGCAGTAAAGTGGGGTCTACTACAAATCTCACAACTCAGAGCTTGACCGGTTTGAACTAGAGCTACTTGTTGAGTACCTAAATTCATGCCCTTGAGTCGTCTCTCTACTTCAGCAGCCACTTGGTCTTCTATCTTTACAACCTAATTTGCAAGTTTCAAGTCAATCATACCCTCAGGTTTACTCACACTTCGGTCATATAACTCCTGATGTTCATTTGCAGCAATGACTTCTATGATCTTCTTGATACCAGTGGTTGTTGTAAAATTGGATAAGCCACCAGCAGTTATATCAATAAGTTGCTTAGTTTTCATTCGAAGGCCATTTACAAACATTTGCGTCTGTTCAGTATGATCCATATCGTGAGTGGGACATGCCACCAATAGCCTTTTGAACCTATTGTATGCATCACCCAACGATTCCACTTCATTCTGCTTAAAATTCATAATGTCATATATTTTGCGAATATAAACAGAAGCAGGAAAATACTCATTCAGAAATTTTGTTTCCATTTGCTCCCATGTCGTGATACTTCCAGCAGGTAACGAGTAAAACCACTGTCAAGTATCTTTGGCTAGAGTGAACGAAAACATCCTTAATTTTTTTCGCTTTTTCGGTATGCCCATCGATCTTGAGTGTGGTGGTCATGGTAAGAAACCTTTACAAATGTTTGTTCGCATCTTCATTGATTCTTCCTGTGAAGGGTCTCTTCTCCAACTGATGAATGATTGATAGGTGCAACTGAAAGTTTAGGATATTCACTGGTTGATTGACAATGGTCAAACGATCCAAAGGAGTGTTTGCCCCTCTATAATCTCCAAGAAGTCTTTCTTGTTGTTCAGTCATTGGTGTATCTTCAAACTCTTTGTTAGATTTTGTGTCAAAGTGCACTGAAACCTCTTCCTCTTTCTCTAGCTCGGTGTCTGAATTTTCTGCTCCTGAAGTTGCCAGCCTTGCTTTCCTAGCTCGTCTGCATCTAGCGTGTAAGGATCGTTCTGGTTCTGTGTCAAAAGTAAAATCAGCTGAGGAATTTTCTCGCATACACAGATTAGTAGAAAAAATATAAAAAAATCATCTACACAAATCAAAAATTTAAAACTAAAATTTTTCAAAATTTTAGCTACAGAGCAACAAAATTTCAATTGAATGAAATCTATGAACTCTGCTATCTTTGGCAGTCCCCGACAACGGTGCTAAAAACTTGATCGGAAAAATAACAAGCGTACTATTTTGCCTATGTAGTAATAAGAGATAAAGTCCCAAATGTCGATCTCAAGGACGGCTTGAGGATATAGAGTTCTGAGTTCAATTCAACTAAACAAAAGCTTGGGTGGTTTTGTATT